TAAGGGGAGACATATGTTTTTGTTCACAAAAACAAACTTCTAATTAATATTTGAGCTCCTGTATGCAACTAACAATTTTGTAATGTACTGACTAAGTTTCATTATTTAATATCTTTTAAAATATATTATGTCTTTCACTGTTCTATTTGTAATTTATGTAAATATATTGATATAAAGTATAGATTTATCAAATAAAAATATTGCACTTGATATTAATGTCTTAGTATTCTTTCACATTTGTGATGAAGATCAACCGTTAGGGCTGTCAAAGGTAGATATACAGGTAAAATATAGTACATATATGTGATACAAACATTTTACCTGTAATAACCACAGGTAGATCTACAGGTAAAATATATCAGGTAAACATAGTACATATATGATACAAACTATAATTACCCTACTTTTGATGTTTCTACCTATTGTTCTCAATATGTATGCGTTCAGGTAACACACCGTTTGCCCAAACAAGGGGTCCACTACTCTTTTGTTTATATATTAGTAGGGTCTCCAGTCATGTCAGTGTTGATGAAGGCTCACTGGACTGTTGGAATTAGGTATATAAGTTAATTGTTATTTCAAAGGTAGAGTCCATTTCATGATAGATAAACCTGTATTTTCACCTGTGGTATCATGTACACATGATCACCAGGAGTGATTTATTAAACCTATTAAAAAATGTAAATTTCAAATATTTCAAAGACAATAAAGCATCCACTTTAGCATCAGGTTATCAGGAGAATAATAACCAATGTTAGCATAAAAGCCTGGCATGTAATATATCCTTTTCAACAGGTGTTGCCGTTGTACATATGCATGCATACAAATTCACAATAAAAGACAAACAGTCAAATCATAATTCATATTTATGACAAAATAAATCAATATTTAATTGCCAAAATGGTCGCCTAAACTACACGCACATGAAATGCATGACACAGACATCAACATTTTAACCATTGTTTCAGAGAATTTGTTAACACTCGATCCGCACGGCCATCATACAATATATATTCTCTATGTTATGAAATATAACCTGGAATAATACCGCAAACTCAGAAAACTATTCTATGCCTTATTCGATCTGTTTGACAATGGAAATAATGTCCGATAAATTCTAGCTTTCTACGCTTGGCAGTGCTTGAACAAGTTTAGTATTACATCTTCAGAAAAAACAAATCCTATTTGGCCCCGACCCTCTGCCACCAGGGGGGCCCATACCCTCTGTTTATACAAAACTCAGAACCCTTTGGGCAATGATGCTCCAGACCAAATTTAGTCAAAATCCTTTTATCGGTACAAAAGGAAAAGGGTTCTTTAATGTTTTCCTCTATTTCCACCAATGGGTCCCACCCATCTGCCCAAAAGAAGGGGACCCACACATCCAGTTTATATAAAATTGATTCTTTTGTCCCTAAACATGCTTCAGACTGCATTTGGTTTGAATCCCTTCACTTGTATAGAAGGAGAAAAATATCCCAGAGGGGCAACACCCTCCGTTTATACAAACTTGGTTCCCCTTCACAAAAGGATGCTTCAGACCAAATATGGAACAAATCCTTTCATTCGTACAGAAGAAGGATTTTAAAGAATTGTCTGTTTCCCTTATTGGGCCTCGCCCCTCAGGGGCCAGACCATGGTTTATACAAAATTGATTCCCATTCACCCAATGATGCTTCAGACCAAATATGGAACAAATCATTTCATTCCTACAGAAGAAGAATTTTAAAGAATTTGCTTTGTCCAAAGATGCTCTAGAACAAATTTGGTCAAAATCCTTCTATTGGTTGAGAAAAAGATTTTTAAAGATTTACCTATTTTCCTCCTATTTGGCCCCGCCCCTCTGCCCCCAGGGGACCATAACCTCCGTTTATACAAAACTGAGAACCCTTTGGCCAATGATGCTCCAGACCAAATTTGGTCCAAATCCTTTGAGCCGTTAAGGACTAGTAGCGTTTTAAAGGGAAAAGTTGACGGACGCCGGACGCCGCGCCATGGCATAAGGTCACTTGGCCCTTCGGCCCAGGTGAACTAGAAAACTATCTGGTCTTTTTAGTATGTCATTTATATTATCACCCTTAAACACATTTCTGATTAATAGGACAAAACTTTGCTTTTTTTGTTTTTGTTTTTGTTTTAATTCAATATAACGATAAAATAGAATTCCAGTTTATCCTATATTTGAGTCTAAAGAAGAGCACCTTTAGGTCCTGTATAAGAAAACATTTTCTATAAGTATGTATGTGATTGTATCACATGTGAACATATATCTGATTAAATAAACAAGACTTTGAATGTTTTTCTGCCAAATTTGGTTTTGTTTTTAATTTACTATTGCGACAAAATAGAATTCCAGTTGATTAATAATCTTGAAAGTTGACAACCAAAGATGGCCCCTACAACAATGATTTTTCTTAGATCATATATCTAAGACTTTTATTATGTCGGAAGAAATTGTTACAGAGTGACATCAAGAACGAAAGACTCACAATTTTCCATCAAACTATACAATGTCACTTTCGCCTCTCTGTCTTACATTTATTGGTGTGAGGTATACATTTTATTTATGAATATTTTTTAGAAACATACATATTGCTGTAAAATCGGACTTCATAAATTCAACCTTTCCAGACAACCTAATCTCTTCAGAAGTGAACATTAATATTATCAAACGTAGAATAATCATGAAAAATATGGATGAAATCTATGGATTTTGTGGAAAAATATATCCTTTGCGTAAACCACTAAATCAAAAATGGTTTAAGATAAATTTTGGAGGGACATTATTTCAGATCACTATGTATACACATTATAAACGGTATTCCGTAAACAACAATCTATACCACAGACCATGTTGATTAGACTGTTGTGCTGACAATCTCACCTTGTTTGAGGTGGACAACAATAAATTAAGGAAAGTTACATTTATATGATACTTAATTGTTATTTTTTTTTTATATTTCTCCCACAACCTCTATAGGTTCCCTCACTCCTGACTCATTGGATAAACCTGATAGGAGTTGCAACGTAAACATTTTAGCTTCCCAGTAGTGGGAAACACCAAGGGTGTTATTTCATTGGTCAATCTCATAATCTAGGCCGAGTTTCCTCTGGCCCCGACACCAGATCTAGACATTTTGAGACAGATAGATGTCACACCAGACATCTATCTGTCAAAATGTCTAAGTCTGTGGTGTCGGGACCAGAGTAAACTCGGGCTAGTAACACCAGACATCTATCTGTCAAAATGTCTAAGTCTGTGTTGTCGGGACCAGAGGAAACTCGGGCTAGTAACACCAGACATCTATCTGTCAAAATGTCTAAGTCTGTGGTGTCGGGACCAGAGGAAACTCAGGCTTTGTCATAATCATGATGTTACGAAGCAATGCTTTGGCACCATCATCTTCTATCGTGATGTCATGATTCACAGCATTTGTTTCCACAATCGTCAACAAAAATGATGCATTTCCAAGGGAAACATATTGTTTTCTATATATGATATGATGAATGTTATGGGAGACTCGAGAAAACGGTCCCCAAGCTTATGGTGGTGGGTTATCATGTTTATCCATCTTTCATTAGTTAATTTTAAAATTGTTAAAGACACTCTGTAAAACTTGTACATTGTACCTTTAAACAATTTGATAATTAACTAAATCAAGTTAGGGAAACATGATAACCCACCATCTCTTATTGAGGAACCGCTATACAAACTATATATCTATATATAATAACAAGTATTCCATATAAACTGTGTAAAACTCTGAGATACAGATCAGTAAAACTCTACCATCACATTAAAGTTCCGTGTCACACATTAAATGATCACTTCCCTCTATTTCTGTATACATTGAGTGAATAAATGAATAAGTATATATAGAAATGTGGATTCTGATCTCTGTTTACTTAACAAAATTGTTAAAGTTCTATAATTTAGCTTTCTTTTACAACGCTGATTTCCAATTCCTTACCATGCCCACGTTTAATCCATACATGCAGTAATCTACAACAAAGAAATAAATGGTAAATACAAGTTTTTATGAAGATAAAGATAGACAACTCTTTATAAAAATTCTGCAATTCCTGCTACTTCAGCTGAAACAGAAAGCAATGGAACAATGACACACAAATGTTTTTTTACAAGGCTAGATAATAAAATGTGAAACAAAATTGCCTCTTGTCTTTGTTCACATACAATGAAGAAAGTTTTCTTGTAGATAAAAGAACATTTATGGGGAGAATAAAATGAAAAGGATGTGTGTAAATTTGACTGAAAATATTAAAAACATTAATACTGGAGAAAATGTGACACATTTTAACACGAGACCTTTTCAGAGCTGCTGTAAGCAGTGCTGTTCTAATGATCAAATATGTATTTTGCAAACTGGTTGGTCACACAACTAATTATATTTGATCAATTATGAAATCCACAAAATCCAATTGAAGACAGTTGTTTTCTTCTGCTCAAATGATTATATTCAGATATCATTAGTTAGTGAGCATTGAGGAAATTCTCTATTGTTGATCCAGCTCATCTTCCATTTCACTACAGTATGCATATTTATGAAGGAGTTTTTTTGAAAATCAATTAAGGCCTGTCATATTTTGTACAGCAAAATGTGTTTATTTCGAACATTCCAATTGCAAATCTATGTTAATAATTACCTTATAATTAAGTCATTCAACCCAAACCTAGTTTCACACTCTGTCTAATATAACATTTTGCTGTATTCCCTTTCTTATGAAAACCATGAAATAAGACCTGTGCATTCTGTCTTATCTTACCAAGGTAATATACTGTTTCCCACAGGGTGTCAGATTGGAGAGGTTTCACTGTATCTTCAATAAGATTCATTTATTTGGAAATGTGTAATATTGGAGTTTTACTTTATACACAAACATGTATGTATGAAACGTGTCCAACGTTTAAAGACCCGACTGGTCCCTTTTTCAAGATATGATATATGGTTTCACTATAGTATGATATTATAAGTACTTACCCCGACAGAATCAATGAAAGCAATACTAATCCTGCTATGACAAAGAAAACCAATCCGGGGAAGAATGTCACAGTATCTTTGTATATCTCTCCAAACAACAGTCCACCGCACCCTGTCACAAGATGTTCCATGGCTGCTATCCCCGCAAACAAGGACCCTGAACACAAAATACCATCAGATTTCATTGATCAATACAGACCCAGAAAGTGACCTTGATAAATGTACTGTATGCAGATTAATTTTTGTGGCCGTGTTCTTTTCAGAAATGTTCGTGGTACACAGAAAACATATTCAACTCAACAGCAAAGATTTCAAGCATGATAATTAGTATAATTACTATAAATGACTGTTTCATTCTAGGTTGTAACAGATTTAGTTGGGTCTTTCTAACTGCTGAGTTTTTTCATTATTGTAGCCCAACTGGACTGGATTTTTTGCTGGCAACCAGAATAGCTCAATTTGAAGAGGAGGACTTGGTTATCCCATAAAATTCAACAAGCAAATTCGTGGAGTTTATATCCCCCGCTTGCAGGACATATTGTTGGTTAACATTAATGAGGTTAGGTTTAAACATGTAAGTATCGTGCTGTTGAGACATAATGTATAGCTTGAAACTTGAAGAAAAAAAGCCCTATACCTCATTGATAAATATCGGTTGGCAAACTTGGCACGAGTCGGATGTGCATACGGAATTTGGTTGAAACATCTGAACAATATCTACAGCTATTATCACACGAAAACCAAAGAGTGCCCGAGATCAGTGGAAAGACAGAGGAACACAAAAATTGTTATCAAGTTTGAAGGAATTTGGCTAATATTGGCTAGAGTTATTAAGCGGAAACTGAAGATAATGACGTTTTTCTTTAATCAAGGGGCCATAACTCAAATGAAGTCTGATTAATGTGGTTGTCAAACTTGGCCGAGCCCTTAATGCGTTGAACCCTGTTACTGTGACAGACAGACAGACAGACAAGTAAACAAATAGTCTAGCTAGTTTAGCAACATTTACGAACGGGCTACATTGTATATATATATATTAATTGCCATGGTATTCAGAAGTTCAATTTGAATACATATATTTTCTTTACCTTGTTCTTCAGGTGAAACCATCTTAGACAAGATGGACCTTGAAATTGGAAGAACAAGAACGGAAAATGAGGCTATCACCATATCTGAAAACCAAACAAAAAATATAGGAACCATTGCCCTAAGTTGATACAATATGTTTTTATATTCACTCGCTCAAAAAACATGTCTATGGAAGGGGAGACAACCTCAACAAATGTGTGCTGAAATCAAATAAAGAAAAAAGATATATACAAAGTATGCAAATACAGTTTACATATTGATTGTTTCAATGCAAAACATAGATTAAGATCTATTATACTAAAACATAAACTGTTTGATGTCACGCTTGGTCATATTATATTTGTAATATGACCAAGCATTTTCATTTATATATGATATAATTACTGATGTAGATATCAACCTGTTGCATTGTGATGACCCAGAAATGGATAAGGTAAATTTCGTCGTTCCATTACTGAGACTAAGAGATGTAGTAGGTTTTCAAAAAGTTGTTATTTCCAAACGGAAGCATGAGTCATGAAGAACTCAAATATCTGAGTCCCAAAAATCCCAGATTACAAGATGCCACTTTGTGACCTCTGTTGAACTTTAAACAAATGCCACAAAGGGCCCTAAGATGATTCCCTGTGATAAATCAATAAAAATTAATAACAAGAGGCCCAATAGGCCTGCATCGCTCACCTGGTATACATCTCACACTTATAACCTTAAACGTGATCTTGAATAAAGCTAAATGCAAAATATCAGTATTTATGATTAAAAGTCATTCAAAAGAACCTGTTAAAAGATTTAAAACATTTCACCACCGTGACCTTGAAAGTACAACAAGGTCATTATGTTGAACAAATTGTATAGCCCTTCATCTCAGGATGCAACTTGTAAAACATTACCACCCTATCCTATTGAAATTAGGCAATTTAAATGTTTAAGCATATTTGACTAAATGTGACCTCAAAAGTGGGTTTCATTTCACAATTTATTTATTGGATATTGCATCTTATACAAAATAAGTATAAACTTAGTATAAGGTTACATGAAAAAAAAAAAATACTCACACGTATACTCCTACTCAAACTGGCACTCACTTATAAACACACACTCCCGCACTCACTCAAAAGAATTGCCCATATATTATATATCCATTCAATTCTACATTATTCTATTATACGAAGGTAAATATAAGATGGCATGGTGATAGATCAGTGCCTTGTATGAGCGTGGTAAAAAAATTGAATTGTAGAGGGAGTGGCTTGACCACAAAGTCCATTTGTTTACACAAAGGTCAGCCAATTCCCATAAATAGTACTAACGTACATCCATATTTTATACATATTTTAAGTGTTTGTACCAACCTCAATAATAATAATTTGAACTAATTAAGTTAATACATTAGAAGCGTTTAGTATTAGAAATGAATCTCATGGTACATTCTAGTATATACATATTACCCTGGTCATTATGGTTAGTACTACCATATAAAGAACATTTACATTTTCTCTTTGAAGTGGATCTATATTATTTATTGATCTGGTAAGGTCAATCCTGTCATTATTATACAAAGGACATCTTAAAACATGATGTATCTTGTCTTCATTTAAATGACCACATTGGCAAGCTGAACTATCTCTTGCATTTAACTGACTGACATTATTTCTTAATTGACACAGTATTATGTTTAATTTTCTGTTACCTCCATATTTAACAGTATGAGCACAAGTATCTTCAGCTGTAATAAAAGGTTCTGGAGTTGATTTCAATTTAATTTTTAGCTGGTTTAGGGATACAGAATTTTAAAATAGTGGTATTATTATTGTTCAATTGATAAGTAATATCAGGGGAATAACTTCTGAGATAAAAAAAAAATCGAAACATTTTCTTCAGGTTGGTAAGTATGGATTATGAGAAGTTCTTTTTACACAACCAATGAAATTTTGTATGTGACGTTTTGATGACTAGTACGATATGTACACTGTCACCTTCATCAGACAAATGACCAATGAAGCGTATGCACACAAAGGTGTAAAATGTGTACGAGTTGTCCATAAAATCGATGTCGATTTCGGCTACGCTGGAAACGTATGTACAATAGTTGTTATATATGTACCGAAATGACTCAATTCAGCTACGCTTTGTTAACACTTGGTCATAGGTGTGCGAGTCTTTGAGCCCCCTCGTCTCGATTTAGAGCTGGCCCACTGCGGCGTATCCAGATGGCTTCCTTTATCTGCCGCTTGGGCAGATTGCTCTCTCTGTCCAAAACTTTGGAGTTATCCCAGTCAATCACATGGTTTTTCTGTGTGGCATGGTCAGTGATTGCCGATTTATTTATCTGGGACTTTTCAGATCTGGTGAATTTTCCTACCTTCTTGGGTTTCTGTATCTTTCCGGTGTTCACCAAGTCGGACCCCAAATCGCCTTCCAGTCTCTCCAATATACGACGCGTCGCAGTTTTTGCATCCGATTTTGTATACGCATTCTGCGACGTTTTCTTTAGATGTTTTATCCTTAGGGTGTACTAGGATATTGCGAAGCGTCTTGTGGGACTTCGTGGCTGTTGCTATGCCATGACCGTGATATGTCCTCAGGATGGTTTCGGATATACCCTTTATATACGGGATAACCACTTGACATTTGGTTTTGTTCTTATCCTTGATAGTCCTTTTCTTGTTCTTCTCCTTACTTTGACACTGTTTTTTACCCGTTTTAGGGCCCATTCCCGATATGCACCTGTTCTCATTGCTCTAGCGATGTGATTATGCTCTTGTGTTTTGTCCTGTTGTTCTGTGACTATTGTATCACATCTGTTGAGCAATGTGCGTAAGACGCCTAACCTCTGGTGTAAATGATGGTAAGATTTCGAGTTCAGGTATTGGTCCTTATGATTCTTTTTTCTGTAGACCAATACCTTCACGGTTCCGTCTTCTTTCTTTACAAGTAGAGTGTCTAGGAAGGGCATTGCGCCATTGGTTTCTTCCTCACATGTACATTTGATGATGTAAGAGATAAAGGTTTGTTCTAGCCCTTGGTTCATTAATTAGCCTTGGTTGTCTTATATTATATATATTTTCCTCTGGAGTTCTGATCAGTGGTTGAAGAATATCTATTAAATATTGGGGTGCATCATGGTGTAGTATTTTATATAAAATAATTAGTTTCTGATAATTTCTTCATTTCTTTAAAGTATCCCACCCAATTTCCTTGTAGATAGTAATGTGACTTGTGCCCCGTCTTATACCTGTAATTATTCTTGATGCTTCTAATTGTAGGGATTCTAGCAGATTTTCCTCTGTTGAACTACAGTTGTCCCATATAACACTCGCATATTCTAGTATAGGCCTTATAAATATTAAATAAATAGTCTCAAGTGATTTTCTATCATTTGTATGCTTAAGTAATCTCAATATATTTATACGTTGACATGCTTTTTCATAAATGTAGTTAATATGGTCTCTCCAGCCACCTATGTCATTAAATAAAAGACCTAAATGTTTATGTTGTTTTACATTAATTATGAAATTGTTATTGAAAATAAGGTTTGGATGAGAAATAGTTGCATTGTGCTTTTAACTGACTATTAATGATTCAGTTTTGTTAGGATTAAATAGTATTCCCCATTTCTCTGCCCAGTTTGAAATATTTGTAAGGTCTTGGTTAAGTTCTGTAGCTTCCTGAATAGAGTCATTGTTAATCAAAGCATATAATGATGTGTCATCAGCGAAAATTTTTATTTTATTTTGAACTTCTTCAAGGTCATTTATGTAAATTAAAAATAAACATGGACGAAGAACAGACCCTTGTGGTACACCGGCTTTAAGAGTTTTCCATACGGAGTAATAACCATCTATTGATACCCCTTGTTTTCTGTTGCCTATATAATTTTTAAACCATTTCGATACATTTCCATTAATACCATATGTCTTAAGCTTAGCGATAAGCCCAGTCTGCCAAACCTTGTCGAATGCTTCACTGATATCACAAAACACCAATCTAGCTTCATTACCCTTATCTAGTTGAGATACAAATGTATGATATAATGATAGTAGTTGATTAACTGTAGAGTCATTTGGAATGAAGCCAGACTGGTTTTTGAACAATGTATTATAATTTGACAGATAATTATATAGGTATTTAAATATTATTTTTTTAGTATTATGCCAAGTATAGGTGTCACAGATATAGGTCTATAGTTTGTTGTGTCAGTTTTTTCACCTTTACCCTTATAGATAAGAGTAGCATTTGCTTCTTTCCATGATTCAGGTAAATTCCCGGTAGATATTGACTGGTTAAAAAGAATATGTAGAGGTTAAGCTAGTGATTGAGTTAGTCTTTTAATCAATTTTGGAGAAATATTATCTGGTCCTTTTGGCTTGTTGGTACTAATTTGATTTAGTTGGTCAATTACATCTTGTTCTGATATCTAAATAGAATGAAGAGAGTGAGGAAAGTTAGGATTGATTTCAGGTAGATCAGCATCAGTTTTGTCAGTGGTAGATATTGAGGAGAAATATTCATTAAAACATTCTGCTTTGTCGAGTGGATGAATGTTAATATGGTTATTAAAAATAATTGGTGAGTTGTCATTTTGTTTGTTTTTGCCACTAATTATAGTTTTGGCTATTTTCCACCACTTACCAGGTGATAAAGATTGGTCAGTTATGGAATTATGCAGTTTGTCTAGACATAGTTCTTTGGCTTTCCTAATAAGGGAGATCACACTATTACTGATTTATCTAAACTTAGTCCATGCCTGGTTAGTATTAGTTTGTTTGGCTTTATGATGTTGTCTGTTTTGATGTCTCATTTTCAATCGAATCTCATTGTTCATCCATTTTTTATCATCTGGTCTTGTCAAAATTGTTTTAGTTGGTACATATTTTTCAATGCATTGGGTGAGTTTCTGATTTATAGTTTGGTTTATAGATTTAATATCTTGGTTAACAAGTTCATTAAGATCAATTTGAGACATAAATGTGTTTGCATTAATAAAATCAGCATCACTGTAGTTATAAATAGTCATATGAAAAGCTCTTCTTTTGTCCTTTGGCATACATATAATTATTGATATAGATAAGAACACCACCTCCTCTTTGATTTGCCCTGTCATTCCTGAAAAGTTTGTGGCTCTCTAATATTAGGTCACTATCAGATACACTATCATTTAGGTGAGTTTTAGTTAGGCATATTATATCAAAATGGGAACATTCACTTTCTATCATATCAAGTTTATTTCTAAGGGAGCAGATATTTAAATTGCACAATGTAATATTTGCAGATTGGTACTTATCATTATTTATATTAGAGAGTGGACCCGGGTTGGGATGAACATCCATAGATATGATAAGTAGGTTCATTTCAATTACAAGGTAGTATGCAAGATATAATAGAATGTACCATGTGAGACCCATATGGAAGTAGTTGTTCCTGTTCACGAAGCTACATCCATGCATCACGGATGTTGATTTAGAATCTTTAGCCTTGTTAAATTAATACTAATGATGCGTATACACAGCATCGAGGAAAGGGAAGTAACATCTTATTATTTAAACATTTAATTCTTGTATCAAAGACAAATGTATATATATGGCAATACTCACAAACAAAAAAGTACTAAACATTCAATTAACATAGACATAAATTTATACAAATTTCACGGTATGGCCATGGGATCCATGACGGAATAATAACTATCGATATGCAAGATCTTGTAATTTTACTTCATAAAGTTTTGAAGGTTAACTATAGTCCTCTATATGGGCCATTAAGATGTATCTGGTAGTGCATTATTAAGCTAATTCATGTTATTATTCAAATTCATTCATTATGAATTAAAAAGTGAAATAGATAAGAATATGGACAGTTGTATATAAACATGTGCATGTGCGTAGATAAGTAACACTATTTATTATTTCATATTTATAATATTTGATAAATATAAGTATATCTTTACAAACATGATTATTAGATACGTTTTACTTAGATATATGAATTACTTAGATATGTATCAAAAAACATGATTATTAGATATGTATTACTTAGATATATGAATTACTTAGATATGTATCTCTATTGACACTCCCTCTTCCATTATCATATATATATATGATAATACAGACAGCTGTATACATGTGTATGTATATAGTAAACTTTCTAGTAAACAGTGTAGATATAAGTTAAACTGTTTATGTAGTCATATTTATAATATTTGATAAATGTAAGTATATCTTTACACACATAATTATTATTAGAGATATATTACTTAGGTATCTATCACTGTTGACTCTTCCTTTTCTATTTTTATAAATAATATCAGTATTCACACATGATATTAGTTACTAAGCTAATTCATGTCATTATTCGAGTTAATTCATTATGAATTAAAGAGTGAATGAGATAATGATACAGACAGCTGTTTATATATATATAAACATGTGTATGTGCGTAGATAAGTAACACTATTTATTTATAATATTTTATAAATATATATAATCTTTACCCACATGATTATTGGATAGGTATTAGCTAGCTATGTATCTCTGTTGACACTCCCTCTTCAATTATTATACATAATGATATCAGTATCACACATTATATTATAAGTTACTAATCTTAATTCATGTTATTATTCATTCATTATGAAATAATGAGCGAATGAGATAATACAGACAGCTGCATACATGTGTATGAATATAGTGACCTTTCCATACAGTGTAGATATAAGTTACACTGTTTATGTTGTCATATTGATAATATTTGATAAATGTAAGTATATCTTTACACACATGATTATTAGATAGGTATTACTTAGATATGTATCTCTGTTGATACTTGCTCTTCCATAATTTTATATAATAATACAGACAGCTGTATACATGTGTATAAATATAGTGACCTTTCTAATCTTTATTCATGTCATTATTCATTCATTATGAATTAAAGAGCAAATGAGATAATACAGACAACTGCATACATGTGTATGAATATAGTGACCTTTCCAGTAAACAGTGTAGATATAAATTACACTGTTTATGTTGTGGGATTTATAATATTAAGAAACATGAAACACTTAATGGCCGCATGCACAATTGTGATCCAGACACAATGAAGACATGCAGATTAGCCTTTTTTATTAAGTATAAAAGTATCAAGTTAAACTATATCATTTACCACTGTTACTATGGTTAAATTTTCCTCTCAGACTTTTTCAAAATAACCATTTTTAAAATTCACATGTTGCCATGCACTTTAAAAATTTTGACAGAATTTTGGTTGTTAAAAAAAACAGAAATCCAGAACACTACTGGGGTCAAATGTTGCCATAACAGGAATTGTATTTGCGAGCACAACATCAAAACGAGTGTCCAACTCATAGGCCACAAAACTTCACAGTGGTACCCTTTACCTTTAGATAATAAAATAATGTACTTACATAGATAGATCATCCAGTTCTGCTGGGCAAGGGCTAAGGGAATCATGGCAACCATCCCCATGAAACAGCCGAAGGATAGTAGGCTCACATCTCGCAGCACACGCTGTATCAACCGGAGAAACGAAATCCCTGCTATCCAGTTGATGAGAATCTGAAGTGAGCTAACTACAGTGATGTGGACCTCTGACCAACAAAATGGCTGACCTAACAGGAATAGAGTCACCACATTGCTTTTTGACACAAAACATGTGGCTGCCATGACTAGAATGACCAGAACAACTGACATTTTACCTCTTCTATTCGGTGATGCTTTTTCGTAGTAAAATACAAAGCACCTCTTGATACTGTTGAGACTCATCCCATGATGATTGTGGTTCTCCCGGAATGGCCTTGTTTCCGGTACCACCACTAGCCATACGAGGATGGTGACCATACAAAGCGCAGTAGAACACAGCATAGGGATGAGGAAACCAGAGTATTTGATCAAGAACCCCCCTCCCATGAATGCTAATGATGCAGATGATGCCATAATTCCCTCCGTTAACACTATCCTGAACCCACGTTGCTTTCCAGGTGAGGTGACATCCGCAAGCATGATAAACGCTGTCATCAAGGCACAGGACATGTAACCAGTTACACCCTCCAGAGCACACCCAATGTAAAGGTATGGCAGAGGGGCTTCAAGGTAAAACACAATGATGTACACAAGCTGGTGTAAAAATAGCCCTATTAAGGTAATCAGAAATGAGACCTTTCTCCCGAACCTGTCTGATGTGTAACCAAGGAAGAAAGTTGGAATGACAGCTGTAAAGCTACTGAGAAAAGACATGTACATGAGCTGTTCTGATGCTTCTTTTTGAATGTTATTGAGGACGTCTGCGGCTTCTGAGTCATTCTTTTGATCACAAATACTGGCATCCTCATTTTGGATGTAGTTAGGGATTCCATATGATTTGGCGACCTCGTTGTACACATAGAACTGATTTATAGGGAGGGTGAGAACATTTGAGACCATGTACATTGACAGCGTATTTTCAATGATATAGGTGCACACCAACTGTGGCCTGGCTATTGGTGGGGCCTCAGCCGATGGGGACGGTGGATCTTCCAAATCCTTCCCCAGCAAAGGGGCATATTCGGAACGGCTTTTGCTTGTCATTGTGGCATTCTGAAAAAGACGTAAATTAAACATTTTTCAAAAACAAGCTTAATATAAGTCTTAAAGAGATATTTCAGTCAGACATTTCAAGCTGAGGTTACAATATGAATTCTGTAATCAGAAATACTTATTAAAATAATCTCATCACAATAATTAAACCTCTCTCAAAAAATTGGAAGATACAGGAAAAAGTTACAAATAAACCAGCTCTAGGCACGGAGACTGATATGTTGGGGGTAGTACGTATCAACTACTTATCAACTCATCTTTAATTTGTAGGTCTCCTTAAGCAAATTGTTTCTCAAACCAAATCAAGTTAGTGCACACTGCACTCCTGCCTGAATAAGTATAAGCTGTCAGAACAAATGTTGTTTTATCTTTAAGACTTGATTATTTTGCAATTAAAGATTAAGATTCCAATTCATTGGATTATTTCTGATTTTTTATATACTGTGATGTATGTATTTGAATGCTAATTTTTAACAGCTCAATTTCTATTTCTGTAGGACACTGGACTGGGTCGCACGGCTGAATAAAAGAGTATGGACAATATGGTCGTATTATTTTTTTTGGTTTTTGTGAATGCTTGAGATTCCATCTCAGAAATATTAAGACGGAGTAAGTTTTTTGAAATATTAATTATCAGTTTTGATGTGCCAGCTAGAGACTATCAGTCAAATCCCTTGTTTCACTCATTGTAATGCCTAGAAAAAACTGCAAGGTTTATTTTACTCACTTAAGGACATGATCTTGATTGCAAAGTATATGCTTTTTTGAATGGTGTTCTTTATCTGTGTTAGTTCTTCTTTCACATAAGAAAGTAATCTCCTAGTATAAAGCGATGTTCCTTTATTCATTTTTTAATACTACAGAATTTGATTATAGATTTTAACCTAAATTTATAAATCTGTGGTATCATTTTGGTCATGTTTGATTAATTTCATCCCTACTTTTCTTCCAAATCCATATGTGGTTTGATTGAGAACTTAGCAGTACTTTTATAGAAGATTAATTTTGGTATGTAACATATATATACTTACCAAAAACCTTTTATAAAAAAAACTGTCAAGATCTCAAAGTCCTATACTTATGAAACCATGTAATCACTATATAGTGTTTCCAAGATCGATATATACAATATAATTTACAAGTTTTATCTGTATTTTAGTATTATTAAATTAAAGTATCACCTGTATGCATTGGGGACTGAACACACATGTGGCACACATGTAGCAATCACTTAGCATACCTTTTCGATACTTTTAAAATGCCTCTAAAATATGGGACATGTGAATTTGAAATTTGATACAGTGAGTATGGATAAAGTGTAATATTAAGTCATAAATATTTGGTAAAATTGTCACCGATGTGGTTTATCATTTGGATATACGTTTTTACCGAATGTTGGTCAATAAACACTTAAAACGTCTAATAATCAACGCATTTCTGATTTATCTACACATACATAAGTAACAAATTCTCAAGTCATTGTGGCAGGATTCAGGATGCTACAGATTCATGTGACTCGACAATATAACGCATATAAATAATGATAAAACAATCATGAGCAAGTGAGTCAGAACCTCAAGGTGAACATCAGCTGACGGGAAATTAATAGTTGTTAGTCTTCGCCTTGTCAATGCTATGCCCTCGATGACCCCAGAGACGATCGACGGGTGAGGAATTGGAACTACTCCGGCCTTCCAAACTTGACAGAATCACTTGTTAAATACTTACATTTCAATGATGTTAGATATCATACATGTAAATCATAAAAGCATTCTTCATGTCAAGTCCCTTGTACAATGGCTACCTGCAGCATTGTACCCGCACAAACGTATTCTATCAATGTACTTACCTTCCCGGTCCAGGCCAGGCACTCACGTACTGGGTAAGAGGTTTTGTTTGTAGATTTGTGGCAGCGCCACCTTGTGCTTATCTGTCAAATTCAACCATGGGCTATAACCTAAGCCGAATAGAAATCAGTTCTTGAAATGTTAGATGTTTCGGGTCATCCCAAACGTCGTTTTCGATATTTCAAAAATATTAGAGCATTTGGCTTAATATTTTCACGAGGAAAAGTTTTTGCTTTATGTTTTCTGTGTGTTTCTATTTTGTCAAAAAAAACGTACCGAAACTCTTATTTATAGGTACCAAACTGCAAGTTACCGTGTCTGAAATCGTCATTGCAACCAGAGACGTATATATTACAGAGATTGGCAACTTGCTCTTTACCTTACCATTGGTCACGGTAACCGGATGTCATATCGCGAGTTACGCCTCACCTGTGCCATATTGGATATACGGTTCGCTGCATTCGATAATCCTGTCCTGTTCAAAACATAATTATGCCATGAGAAAACATCGAAAATCAACGTAATATTAAACCCGTAGCTAGCTGAGATTTTTATTGCAGTTTGGGAGTGCTACATTGAATGTAAACTTGAATTATTAAGTTTAGAAAACACAAAGCATCGAAAGATTGCACCTCGTGGCTGTGTTTACATATCGAGAATGCTTCTGACTTCAGGAGAACACAAACTCTATTTTTGTTCCTTAGACAATTTCAAAAAAGTCTTCAGAAATTAAAGTTCAAACATTTAGCTCTGAAAATAAGGTTTTTTAAGGATGAACAAGTTAAAATGGCGGTTTTGATGTGTGAGTGTTATTTTTCATGACACATTAGAACACGAACACCTTTCTAATTCATTATTTAATTTCAAAAAAATCTTCAGATATTTATTCAAACATATTATTTCTAGCCAGCTTTTTCAAATAAGGTTTTTACAATACTTGCAAAGTTTGATAGTTGAGCTCTGAAAATACGATTTAAAGTGTACAAGTTTAAATGGCGGCTGTGCTGTGCGTTGGTTAATTCCTTTCATGACACCGGCACTCCTTTCTCGTTCATTATTTTAATTCAAAAACATATTAAGATATTCCATTTTATTTCTAACCAGTTTCTATATATGGGCCATATATCTAAGATATGTGACATGTTGACACAAACTAACGAATACACGATCGAATTTTCACAGGTAACACACTGACCAGACTATCGTCCGGAGGATCAATATCATTTTGCTTCTACATGTGCTTTTAGCTGTCAAAACAAACACTCATAGATCAGGTTCCGCGTGATTGCGCAGCCGCAACCTAACTCTTGCGGCGTTTCTAATTCCACTGCCTGAACAATATGAGCATGCGTGTTTTTACGAGATCTGCGTGAGTTGCCAATCTCTGTAATATATCGTAAGATGTAAAATATATAAATAAATACTTAAAACGTTTATTCATAACGCTAAGTTAGAAACAACTTGCTATGACGTTCACGATAAACATGTTTTGGTATAAAAATGTACAAAAGAATCATGCAAATGCACATACATTGAAGGAATGCATACTGCAACTTTAATTAGAAAGCTTACTTCTTCAAAAACTTTAATATTTGTCCCGTAATTGATATCTTGACAAATGTCTTGTTTTTTCACGTGGGTTTATTTAACATACCTTTTCTGTATGTTTTATTCGCGCTTGAGAGGATGATTAACGTCAATATTGATCATAATCATCTCTCGGAAGAATATTCGCGAATGAGTCTCCTCTCTGATTAACGCAAAGCATAATTTATCGCAAAAAGAAGGTGATTTATTGTATAGGTGAGTGTGACCGTGCTATTTGAAATAGCACAAATGACTTGGCTTAAAGTTGGTCATTAGTTGTAGCACAATCATGAAAAAATGCTTATAATTTTTTTGTTTTCACATAATTCTACTAGATAGGTGAAATTTACCTTCGACCTCATAACTAGAATTATGTTAATACCAAGTAGTTGTGGATTTGAGATATATGTATTTAATGGTGATTATTAAATTGAAAAAAATATATAAAAATTCAAAGACAATTTATGATTAAGTTGTATTTAGGCAACTTTCATCGTCTTTATTTCTGCTGACGATTCGGCAAGTTTAGGACCTTCTTGGTTAAGAATTATTGCAATCATCCATTTTCTAATAATACTGTGGTCATGATTTCTACACGTTTCGCATGTATTTCTTTTGATTCAGAATGCTTTGATAGGTGCTTTCGGCATGGCATTTCAGTGAGACAGCACTATAAAGTCGGGATCAGATCCGCGCTACCACAAGGAGGAAAATACATAAAAAAGGCTGCCCCCCCCCATCCCCACCCCCACCTCGGGACTCATGCACGCTTACATTACACACATGGATGCACGTCCTTAAATGACATTAGTTGTCAATAGGACCTTTAACCCTGTACAAAAAAACCTATCATCCGATGATCCTGATTCATATGATGAACAGAATATTCTGTGACTGTGCCTCTTTCCTACCTTTACGATATTTCTTATTATGCTTCATGTTTTACATTTAACTCTATATGACGATTTTCGTCTCGGCTATTATAATGATACGACATTTTAACAACAAAGTCTTATTGTAATGCGGACCGTTACAAAGCCCCAAAAACTGACCCCTTAGTCGCAAATGATGTCCTGGAAAGAGTTTGCAATACCATGATACATACAAACCAAGTTTGAGCAAAATCAGACATACAGATGGACCATTGCCATCACCTTGGCGTACACGTACAAATGTGTAAATCAGAGACAACGACGGCCATGTTTGATAACCGATCAGAAAATGAAATGTGTTAAGTACATCTGCTATACCCACCAATACTCATTAGTATCCGCCAAATAGTCTTTGAGAAAACGTCCGGGAAATATCTGGCCCAAAGAAACGTAAGAAGAAAAAGAAGATATGCTAGCAAAACACCAATCAACAATCGTATGCCGATACTAGGCTGACGCCCGGACAGTGAATACGTCCATTATTGTCACGTTCATGATTGTTAAAACATTCTGGTTATTCAAACTCTTTTATTGTTGGTGATGTGACGACCTGATTTGGCAGGGAATTCCAATGGTTGACCACTCTTTCTCTAGAGGAGTACTTTCTTAAGTTTAATTTAGACATTGCCTTTTCAAGTCGATGACTATGACCTCTCTTGTTCGTTTGATCTCGTGTATATTTTAAAAGCTTTCTGTTACAGAAGTGCCATAGTATCCATGTATTAGTGTATAAACCTGTATCATATCTCCTCGAATTTTAAAATCCTTAGTCTGTCTTGATAACTTAGGTCTTTCATTCCTTGCATCTGCTTAATGGCTCTCACAAGTGCTTTATACAGCAGACAAGACTTTTAATGCGTCAAAATAATTATATGTTCTTCTAATTGTTGCCATAATCCTGTTTGCTTCGTTTACCGATAATTAAAATCTAAGTTTGTTTTCTATGATTACTCCGAGATCCTTTTCTATTAGAACGTTTTCCAAAGTGACTTTTATCCTCCCTTCATTGATGTCTTTGCGTAAATAAAGCGGCGCGGTATTAATATTTTTTTTCTAGTGAAAGTACTTTGCATTTTTCCGGGTGAAATTTCAACATCCAAGTATCTGACCATATTTGGATCTGGTCCAGGTCTTCTTGCAGCTTCATATTTTCGCTGTAATGATACATTATAGTGTCATTCGCAAATAATTGTTTCTGGTCCGTCATTTATGTAAATCACAAATATTGACGTGCCAAGGACACTGCCCTGAGGGATTCCACTGATAACATCCATTAATGTAGATACTTCGCCATTTACTAATACTACCGGTTGTGGTTGATTTATTTTTCTACTATTTCAACGGTTGTGGTTGGATAAGCGTAGATGTAATCAAAAACAGTGTTCATGTCATAACCCTCAATGAGCGATGTATTGGTGCTTCTTGAAGAAACTGGATGTTTACATAATGAATACCGTTTTTACTCTCCTATATTCTGAAGTAGACCAAATACGTTAAGCCTTTCGTATTGTAACGTGCGGTTGGTCACCCATCTAGCCGCTGACCGCACTCGACGTTGCTGAACTAGTGAGCGTATCCCCGGGTTATACATCCTCGATATCCTGGGGTTACACTCACTTTCGTTCTCTGCACTCCTGTAATATGTCATAGCAAAAATGAAGGCACACGGCTAGCTACTTGATTGGTGGCGGGTAAAAAAACCTGATCATAATTGTCCTTTGAAGATTATAGAGGAGCGACGCCCGACTTCAAAGCCAATAAGTTTTACCGTTACGAGAACGCGAGATTCTTATGATGTACATCAAAGGATCAAACTAGCCTTCTCATCTCATCTCAGGAGATGCACACCGAGTCTTCGCTTTGACATATGCCAGGGCTCACAATTAGGTATGACAAAGATAGCCTATGACCATGATGTATATGAACACATTTACATCGTGTCAACTTTTTTGTGCTTAAACAATGGGGGAGCCAATGAAAACAAAGTCAATTTTTGTATATTATGTTAAAGTATTATAAAATACAAATGCACTGCATTTTGCTATCACATACAAGATGAGCACTCTAACAATAAATAATCATACCTCACATCTACTAATATCAACATTCACGCATGTAGTCTCTCTCTCAATATAACATAATGAATCATAATCTAGTCATTAATAGTTTTCATAATTATAAACAATATTTAAAAAATTGTATTTACTAGATGTAGAATACAAACATTTATACTGGTAACCAGATATGAAAAAAACTAAGACTGACAGTGAATTTCAACCTTTTACCTCTGTTTATAAAAGAAAAAATATTCTCTATTTAACCGGTATTTCCCTTTTTATCTTCATTTTTAAAATGAAATATTTGTCCAGTCCTTTTGATACTTGTGTTAAAAAATACTTTACGAAACTAATTTATTAATCCAATTCGATATCACATACTTCTATCTTGGTATGTACTGCTTATACCATTGAGTCTGATATGTTGCGTCAAGCTAAAATTCAACATCATTCTGAAAGAAAATTAACACTTTTGATATACATTCTTGAGATAGAGTTAAAATAAATAAACACTTTCTTTAAATGAAAATTGTATTGAAAAATCCTCGCTTCTTTTAAATTTCTATTTCACATTTACTTTGACTAGTGTTTAACAGGACATTGTACGCCATGTCCCAATTTTGAGTCTTGCGATATCTTTGTGACCCAGAGAAATGAAACAAAATCTACATTTGAAAAAAACCCACTTTGTATTGTATACCTTTCGTCACTAGGGTTGTAAACAGTGAGGCCCTATCACGTCAAAGGAAACCTCTTTCGAATCAAAGGGAGAAAACTCTATTTCTGATGAGAGCAGGAGCTGAAGGATGCCACCTCGAGTGTCACGTACGTATGTATGTATGTACGTATGTACGTATGTATG